ATTAGGAAAGTTCTCTGCTATAATTACCTTGATCCCCAAACCAGACAAAGACCCCATCAAAAAGGAGAATTACAGACCAATATCCTTGATGAACATGGATGCAAAAATTCTCACCAAAATACTAGCCAGTAGGATCCAATAGTACATTACATGGATTATCCACCACGACCAAGTGGGATTTATCCCTGGGCTGCGGGGTTGGTTCAACATCCGCAAATCAAATCAATGTGATACAATACGTTAATAAAAGAAAGAACAAGAACCATATAATCCTCTCAATAGATGCCGACAAAGCATTTGACAAAGTACAGCATCCTTTCTTGATCAAAACTCTTCAGAGTATGGGGATAGAGGGTACATACCTCAATATCATAAAAGCCATCGATGAAAAACCCACAGCAAATATCATTCTCAATGGGGAAAAACTGAGAGCTTTCCCCCTAAGGTCAGGAACACGGCAGGGATGTCCACTGTCACCACTGCTATTCAACATAGTACTAGAAGTCCTAGCCACAGTAATGAGACAACAAAAGAAATGCATCCAAATCGGCAAAGAAGAAGTCTAACTCTCACTCTTTGCAGATGATATGATACTTTATGTGGAAAACCCAAAAGACTCCACCCCAAAACTGTTAGAACTCATACAGGAATTCAGTAAAATGGCAGGATATAAAATCAATGCACAGAAATCAGTGGCATTCCTATACACCAACAACAAGACAGAAGAAAGAGAAGTTAAGGAGTCGATCCCATTTACAGTTGCACCCCAAACCATAAGATACCTAGGAATAAATCTAACCAAAGAGGCAAAGAATCTGTACTCAGAAAATTATAAAATAGTCATGAAAGAAACTGAGGAAGACACAAAGAAATGGAGAAACGTTCCATGCTCATAGATTGGAAGAACAAAAATTCTGAAAATGTCAATGCTACCTAGAGCAATCTACACATTTAATGCAATCCCTATCAAAATACTATCCACTTTTTTCAAAGAAATGGAACATATAATCCTAAAACTTGTATGGAACCAGAAAAGACCCTGCATAGCCAGAGGAATGTTGAAAAAGAAAAGCAATGCTGGCGGCACCACAAGTCCGGACTTCCAGCTCTATTACAAAGCTGTCATCATCAAGACAGTATGGTGCTGTTTCTAAAACAGACACATAGATCAGTGGAACAGAATAGAGAGCCCAGAAATGGACCCTCAACTCTATGGTCAACTTATCTTTGACAAAGCAGGAAAGAATGTCCAATGGAAAAAAGACAGTCTCTTCGACAAATGGTGTTGGGAAAATTGGGCAGCCACATGCAGAAGAGCAAAACTGGACAATTTCCTTGCACCACACACAAAAATAGACTCCAAATGGTTGAAAGACCTCAATGTGAGACAGGAATCCATCAAAATCCTAAAGGAGAACACAGGCTGCAACCTCTTCGACCTCAGCTGCAACAGCTTCTTCCTAGAACCATCGTCAAAGGCAAGGGAAGCAAGGGCAAAAATGAACTATTGGGACTTCATCAAGATAAAAAGCTTTTGCACAGCACAAGAAACAGTCAACAAAACCAAAAGACAAGCGACAGAATGGGAGAAGATATTTGCAAATGACATATCAGATAAAGGGCTAGTATCCAAAATCTATAAAGAACTTATGAAACTCAACACCCAAAGAACAAATGATCCAATCAAGAAATAGGCAGAAGACATGAACAGACATTTTTCCAAAGAAGACATCCAAATGGCCAACAGACACAGGAAAAAGTGCTCAATATCGCTCAGCATCAGGGAAATCCAAATCAAAACCTCAATGAGATAACACCTCACACCAGTCAGAATGGCTAAAATTAACAAGTCAGGAAATGAGAAATGTTGGCGGGGATGCAGGGAAAGGGAAACCCTCCTACACTGTTGGTGGGAATGCAAGCTGGTGCAGCCACTCTGGAAAACAGTATGGAGGTTCCTCAAAAAGTTGAAAATAGAGCTACCATATGACCCAGCAATTGCACTACTGGGTATTTACCCCAAAGATACAAATGTAGTGATCCGAAGGGGTATGTGTATCCCGATGTTTATAGCAGCAATGTCCACAATAGCCAAACTATGGAAAGAGCCAAGATGTCCATCGACAGAGGAATGGATAAAGAAGATGAGGTATATATATTATGCAGCCATCAAAAGGAATGAAATCTTGCCATTTGCAACAACATGGATGGAACTGGAGGGTGTTATGCTGAGCGAAATAAGTCAGTCAGAGAAAGACATATATCATACGATCTCACTGATATGAGGAATTCTTAATCTCAGGAAACAAACTGAGGGTTGCTGGAGTGGTGGGGGGTGGGAGGGATGGAGTGGCTGGGTGATAGACATTGGGGAGGGCATGTGCTATGGTGAGCACTGTGAATTGTGTAAGACTGTTGAATCACAGACCTGTACCTCTGAAACAAATAATACACTATATGTTAAAAAAAAAAAAGAATATATTAGGAAGGGTAAAATGAAGGGGGGAAATTGGAAGGGGAGACAAACCATGAGAGACTTTGGACTCTGAAAAACATACTGAGGGTTTTAGAGGGGAGGGGTGTGAAGGTATGGGGTTAGCCTGTTGATGGGTATTAAAGAAGGCACGTACTGAATGGAGCACTGGATGTTATATGCAAACAATGAATCATGGAACACTACATCAAAAACTAATGATGTAATGTATGGTGATTAACATAATAAAATTCAAAAAAGAAAAGATGCTTAATATAATTTAAGTCTTAAACTTATTGAGATTTGCTTTTTTTAAGATTTTATTTATTTATTTGACAGAGAGAGACCCAGCGAGAGAGGGAACACAAGCAGGGGGAGCGGGAGAGGGAGAAGCCCGATGTGGGGCTCAATCCCAGGACTCTGGGATCATGACCTGAGCCGAAGGCAGACGCTTAATGACTGAGCCACCCAGGCGCCCCGAGATTTGCTTTGTGACATACCATGTGATCTAATCGCATGGATTCATCTTTTTTGGGGTTCCTGGATATCTGTTTTCTTACCCAAATTAGGGAAGTTTTCAGCTGTTATTTCTTCAAATAAGTTTTCTGCTCCCTTCTCTCTCTTTCTCCTTCTGGGAACTCTGTATTGCAAAAGTTATGTTTAATGTCGTTGCAGAGGTCCTTTAACTTGTCCTCATTTAAAAAGTTTCTTTTGCTGTTCAACTTAGTTGCTTTCCAATACCCTGTCTTCCAGCTTACTGATCTGTTCTTCTGGTTCCTCTACTCTGATGTGGATTCCCTTTAGTGTTTTCATTTTAGTTGTTGTACTTTAGTTCTGGCGGGTTTCTTTTTATATTTTCTGTCTCTTTGTTGAAGTTCTTACTGAATTCATCCACTCTTCTCTCAAGTCTGGTGAGCATCTTTATGAACATTAGTTCTTTTTCTGAGGTCATGTTTTGTTTGGAACATCTTCCTCTGTCTCCTGATTTTTGTCTGAGTTTGTGTTTGTTTCTTTGAATTAGGTGGATCTGGTACCTCTCCCAGTGTTGAAGAAGTAGCCTTACTTAAGAGTGTCCCCTGTGTAGACTGTGTGCTTAGTGGCTTTGGCTAGCTGATTGGTGCTTGATAGGTGTTGGCTGGGGCACTCTGCACAGGAGACACCCTTGTCAGGTCAGCTGGAGCTGAAGCAAGTGTAATCCAGGGGTTCCTGGAGTGCTTTGCACCGTGGTCACCCTTGCGGGACAGCTGAAAGGGAGCAGGCTCAGGCCAGGGGTTTTTGGAGTGCTCCACATTGGGGCTGCTTTGGTGGGATGGCTGGAGATGGCATGGGAGCAGGCTGGGTATGATGTGGGTGCTTTGTGCCTGGGTCACCTTGGTGCGACAGCTGGAGCTGATTTGGGTTAGGGGACTGAGTACCTCCGACCCTGGAGAGAGTTTCAGTAGTTAAGCCCATTTGGCAGACGTTCTAAGGTTAGTAAATGAATATCCTTCACTTAATAGTTTATTTTCCCTTTAAACTACTGTGGTTTATTTTGATTTTCTGTGCCCCAGGGTGGGCAAGTCTGCACATGGGCCCCTCAGAACTATCTCTCCCTACTATAGTTTGCCACATTGAGGGTGGTTGTTCTCAATGTTACTGTGTCTCTGCTGTTCTACCCTCCTTTAATGTCCCTCTATTCTTGTGTAGAAGCTGTTCAGTCAGCCCTTAGTTCTTCAGGAGGAATTGGTCTATATGTAGGTATAGATTTGGTGTGTCTGGGAACTGAGTTCAGGGTATTTCTATGCTTCTATCTTGGACTGCCTCCTGTTATAGCATGTTCTTATAAGGTAGCAAACTAGATGGAAGTAAAAGGCTCTCTCAGCATATTCCCATCTACGTGATAGTATTTTCTACTTTATCTTGTGTGTGTGTGTGTGTGTTAGGAGTGAGAGCGAGGGGAAGGGGGAAAAAGAGAGACTGTCCTAATGTCTTTCTTTCTCTCCCTGTAGTTTTTTTCTATCCTTTTTTTAAAATTATTTTTTCTTTATATCTCCTCTTTCAAAAATAGATAAATGGAAATTCTCTATTTCTCACTTATACTTTACTTGGGTATCCAGTCTCAGTATATCTCTCAAACTTCAGTATATGTAAGGATTTCCAGGGATACCTTGTAGAAAATACAGATTTCCAGGCCTTTCAGAAATTCTTTTTCATTAGGTCTGCAGTGGGGCCCAGATTCTGGGAGCCTCACCCCTTCATATTCTAATGCAAGGAATCAAGGAACCACACTTTGAAAATACTTTTTCTGTGACAATTCCTGCTATTGCTATAAATAGTAGCTATGTGTGATATTTTCCCTACTGATTTTAATTGCATTAATGTTGTCAACCAGCCAGTTATCTGCATTTTCTTAGAAATTATGTTCAAAGGCATAGGTATTTGATTCATAAAGATATCTGTAGACCACTTTTATACTAATTTGCTTATTTTTATTTTACATTTCCACAATTATAAATATTGTGAATTAACAACTTTGCTTCAACTGTAGGAGAATGCAAAAACACTCCAGGAGAGAAGCGTTGCTTATATCAACTCAGATTCATCTATAGAAGGTATATTTTATTTCAGATTATGAAACAACGTATCATCTTTTAAGTCTGCAAATTGTAACTAACTTATAAACTAAGGTTATTTTCTTCCTATGAGATTCTTCAATGATACCTTCATTTTCCATTTTACCACTGGGAAAATCATGATTCAAATGAATGAGTGTATGATTCATAATTAAGCTACTGATCGTAATTTCTTCAGTATATTTGCCTATCTTGAATTACTACTTAAAACTCCAGTATTAATATTAATCATATTCTTCCTATGGAGATATTAAACGAATTTGGCTAAAATATTTCAGAAGAATATTTTACAGAATATTCCATATAGAAATACCTCCTGTATGTATTAGAACAATTTGAAGTAAACACAAACTACAGACTTCCCTTGGAACTCAACATGTGACATTTGTGTCTCTAGGCTTTCATTGTATGATGATGTCTAGGTAATGTTAGAGCATACTTATGAGTTACTGAAATGCTCTAGTCTTATGTCTTGATACTGTTGAATTGAGTAAATAAAGAATGGATGGTATAGCTTTATCACTTCCTTTGCCAAAGTCCCCCTAAGAGATAGCACCTTAAAAATGATGCTAGGTGGGGCGCCTGGGTGGTTCAGATGGTTAAGCGTCTGCCTTCAGCTCAGGTCATGATCCCAGGGTTCTGGGATCGAGTCCCGCATCGGGCTTCCTGCTAGGCGGGGAGCCTGCTTCTCCCTCTGCCTCTCTCTCTCTCTCTGACTTTCATGAATAAATAAATAAAACATTTAAAAAAAAAATGATGCTAGGATTACTGTGGGACTTGCTGCCTTAGCATCCAAAGCCCTCCTATACACTGCAGCCTCTCCTGCTCCTGAAGAACTATTTCCACTCCATTCTAATTCCTTGAGAATGATGCCTTCAATTTCAAGTCTATTATACCTTGTTTACAATTAGAAATAGAATTAGACTTCTGTTGGAATTTCATTTGGAAGTATTAAAATACACTCTATTTTTTTCAGGCAATTATACTCTCAGAGTTGACTGTACACCTCTTCTTTACCAATTGGTGTATAAACTAACAAAAGAGGTAAGTAAATCTGTCTTAATGTTTTCTGATGAATGGATAAGTGAATGACACCTGTTTTCTTAATTAGTGGTACTGATTTTTAAACTGGTGAGAGATATAGCTGATTTGTGTATATATCAAGTCAGAACAAAATCTTTAATACAGTATTTAAATGACCCAACTATAAAAATAGTATTGCTGGTCTCTTCTAATAGTAGCTATTAATAATTGTGTGCACTGTTGTCAAGTATTAGGTACACGATTTCATGTGGTAGAGGCATTTTGATAGAACAGAACACTGAGCTGAAAATGGAAAAGGCCTTGGGTCAGACCCTATAAAGTGAATTCTAGCAGCAGCAACAATAAAAAGACATGGTCACTGAATCCAAATACTTAGTAATCCAGAGAGGATACACTCTCGTAAATGAGGATTTATACTTCAGTAGAATATTGGGGACTACCAACAATGGAGAACAATTATGGAATAGAGAATCTGAAATCCTGGGGTAGCTGGGGAAGCATCAGAAGAGGTTTATAGAATAATTAGTGCTTGGCCTGTAAAATGGAAGGATGTGAAAGTAAGAGAGAAGGCATTCTCAGCATAGAACACAGTACCTAAAACAGATGTGGAGATATGAAAGAGAATATTTCCTGACCTCTAGGTGGATCAGTGTGACATGAGCATAAGGTTTTGGTGGAAAGATGGTAAGAAATGGGGCTGACAAATAGGCCAAGTTCAGAAATCTGGCGATAGAGAAATTAAAGATCTTTAACAAGGTTATACATTATCATATTTGTTCATTAGAAAGATCACTCTGTATCAGCGTAGTGAATAGATTAAGCTGTAGCAACTCTAACAGCAAAATGAAAATAATTCTTATCATATAGGAATTTTGTAAATATTGGTAAAAAAGTACTCTGAACTCTAATGTACTCTAAAAATTATATAATCTATTCACTTGACATCTGTGTACTTCATTTAAATAGTTCACTGTAGAATTTACAGAAATACTTCTGTATCACTTTACATTACAATGTGAAGTAGTGTCACTTTTCTGAAGGTACTGTTTCCCACTTTCCCTTATTATTGCCCTTTCCTTTTTCCTGTTAGTGTCTTTAAAAACTAGTTTTCTCAAATGAGAGTCTTTTTATTATTCCCATCCCAACTCTCAACATATTGGGTAGCTTGTGTTCTTGATCCTTTTATTGGAACGTCCTATAAAATAATCTTATCTAAAAGCCTGAGAAAATCCTTCTCAGCATATACATTTATGCTTTGTGCTGTCCTAGAGATGGCTCCTGCCTTTAATGTCAAGAATAAGAAGAATTTTAGGGGTGCCTGGGTGGCTTGGTCAGTTAAGCGTCTGACTCTTGATTTTGACTCAGGTCATGATCTCAGGGTCGTGAGATCGAGCCGTGTCAGCATGGAGCCTGCTTGAGATGCTCTTTCCCTCTGCTCCTCCCCCCATGCTTGTGCTCTTTCAAAATAATAATAAAAAAAAAAGACTATGAATGTTAGGGCCAACAGGGATATGTTTAGGTCTATGCCCCTTTGTACAGAAGCAGATGCTTATCTATGGCCATACCAAAACCCAGTAGAAAAAGACTTGTATTCTCCCATGAACTGATTATTACAATTTTACCAACCCCTAGTGTGTGTTGGCACAGTGAAACCATGCTGGCAATGTGAGGATAGGACAAGAGTTGTAGAGGGCAGAACTTAGAGAGAAGGGCAGCTGCCTGATAAAAGAAAGAAATGGGACAGGGTGTTGGAATAATGGAGGAGGGTCAGCATCTATGAAGATGTGTATATCAGAGACAGAAAGTATGATCCAGGGAGACCAGGCTGAAGGGACACCATTCTGGTTAGTGCTAGACTGAGATGATGATTCCAGAAAATGAAAGGATTTTTCGGGAATTCAATCTAAGCAGAATGTGGGAGTTGGAACAGGTTCTTAGCTATTGCAAGTTGGCAGGAGCAGAGTAGAGTAGAACACCCAGTGAATTGGCTAGAAATGAACAGAACATCTCTGCAGCTGCAACATGCAAAGGGATGACTGTGGAGTGCCAGGACTGTTTCTAAGCTCAGGGCCGCATATGCAATGATGAGGTAAACAACCAACTCTGTATAAGGCCAGAGAAAATATCAGAGGAATTGATCTTTATGTTAAGATGGGGACCATTATCCCCACTTCCACAAAACTAGGGCTTCAAGAGGGGAGTACACCAAAGGTTATAATGCTCAGAGCTGCATAAGTAGGGTATGCCTTTTTTTTTTTTTTTAAAGTAGAGCTGTAACCAAATTTCAGGTGGGTATGTGTGATAATATGGATTTAAAATAGACTTTAGCCTTTGAAGTCTGCAATTTTTCCACCACGTGGCCCTGCTTTTCTTCAAGTGGAGAAAGAAAAGTTATGTTTATGGGCATACTTTTAATGAGGGTAGTAAAAAAGGTTCATGAATTACAGAAGCTCTTAGAATTTCCAAAGAGAAATCTGAGGTTGCACAGAGCTTTTAAAACCCATCAAATTCCAACTTTGTTTAAATACAATTTGGCTTTCTTAAAATGGCATTTCCTCCTTATCCCACCTGCCCTACAAAGCCAGGACTTACATTGCCAATTTCAAGCTTAGCTTGTTCAGGCATGTCTGTTGCCCTAAGCCATTTTTTATAGGTCTTCTTGGACAAAAGCAGTTTACTAAAGTAAATCTTTCTAAAGTTTCCCCCAGTAACTTGCCACTAAAAGAGATCTAAGCTCCCAAAAATCAAAGTGATGACATTTTTGAAAAATCTGGAACTCTAGTAAAAAGCTTACCAAAAAAAGCAGGAAATTTTATCCCAGGTCCCTGGCAAAATTACCATTAGGCAGACAACAAAAATGAACAAGAATTTGATTGGATTTTTTTTCTTGCCATTTGCTTTTGTTTTTCTATAAAGAACATAACACATATCCATATAGTAAGAAGTTGATAACATATGGTCAGATTTTAGTTGCTTCTGCCTCTAATTCACAATATTTGATTTTTTCATTCCAGATCTCCAGCCCAGATGATGGTTTTGAGAGTAAATCTCTTTATGAAAGCTGGTTGGAAAAGGACCCTTCATCTGAAAATATAAATTTTCCTAGGTAAATTACTAGGATAAATTATAATTATAAATTATGAATTCCCCTTTGCCCTTTGTTTCTCCAGACATGCAATTCTTAGATGTGTCAACAATTTGAGTAGAGGAAAGATAATCCCAGAGAATCCCTCTTGTAGTGTTTGATTTGCTAATCGGACAGAATAGCCATCATTCAATCTATAATAGATTCTAGTTTTGCAGACTTTTAGTCAAAATTATTTTGTCACATTATCAGGTATTATTTTGCATTCTTGCATTAAATTTCAAATATGTGTTAGATAATTAATAAATCACGTAACTCCAAATGAGTTACAACAGCAGCTTTCTTGAATTTTTTGTTTCTCCTGCAATACTATTTCTAAAAACTAGTAAGAGTGTATAGCTTCATTCCATATTCCAAATAAGTCTTGTGGAAGTTTGCATTTCCACTATAAAAGTTTCACATGCTTATTAAAAAAAAATTACTGGAGTAGAAAAAAAGGTTTTAAAAAGATCCAAGGTCAGGGGCTCCTGGGTGGTTCTATTGTTAAGCATCCACCTTTGGCTCAGGTCATGATCCCAGGGTCCTGGGATAAATAAAATCTTAAAAAAAAAAATCCAAGGTCTAAATCTCAACACATAATAGTTTGGAAGTATATAGTTATGTTCCTAATGCATATTCTGCTTTACTCACCATTTTATTAAGAATTTTTGTTATTGGGCGCCTGGGTGGCTCAGTTGGTTAAGCGACTGCCTTCAGCTCAGGTCATGATCCCGGGGTCCTGGGATTGAGTCCCGCATCGGGCTCCCTGCTCTGCGGGGAGCCTGCTTCTCCCTCTCCCACTCCCCCTGCTTGTGTTCCCTCTCTCGCTGTGTCTCTGTCAAATAAATAAATAAAATCTTTAAAAAAAAAAAATTTTTGTTATTATATATATATAATATATATTAAATATGTATGTACTGGTTTTCTTTACTATATGCAAAGAAATGTATTTTGATTAAATTTCTAAATAAGGCACATTGAGATTCTTAATGATCTTAAATATTTTTATTCTTAATTTTTATTTTAAATATACTTTATCATGGCAGTTTTCTTTTTTTTTTTTTAAGATTTTATTTGGTAGAGAGAGAGAAAAAAAACAAAACAAAACACGAGTAGGAAGAGAGGCAGAGGGAGAAGCAGACTCCCCGTTGAGCAAGGAGCCTGATGCGGGCCTCAATCTCAGGACCCTGGATCATGACCTGAGCCACCCAGGTGTCCCTCATGGCAGTTTTCTTACTAGATTATAGTTCTCTGAGAGTGACCAAATCTTATTTTCCCCTCTAAATAAATACCATAAAATGCTGAAAATAGACTGTAGTCTCGGGCTTCCTGCTCAGTGGGAGTCTGCTGCTCCCTCTGCCTGACGCTCCCCCTGCTTGTGCTGTCAAATAAATAAAATCTTTAAAAAAAAAAAAAAAAACAGACTGTAGTCACTAGGCTGCTGTCTTTGTTGGCACTGTTCAACTCTGGCTGTAGTCAGTCAATGCAGAATATATTTTTATCACACCAGTTTCTAGCACATGATAGTAAAGTATCGTGTAATGGTGTACCTTCTAATTCTTGTAAATACGCTATGCAATTCCTTGCTTGGATTCACTGTCCCATTTATTTCATAATTTTTTAAATTTATGTATTTATTTCTCCCTGTGTGTATATATATATTCATATTCTACATCTAGAATCAACAAACTGGGATCTGGAAGTGATTTTGAAGCTTATTTTCAGAGACTTGGAATTGCTTCAGGCAGAGCCCGTTACACTAAGAATAGGGTAAGCCATCTTATTATTTTGGATACCCAGCACTTTATCCAACTTTTTGTTAGGAATTTTAAACAGTTTACTTTTTTGGCACCAGGGCACCAGGTCACATGGCCCAAGAAGAATTCCAGGGGCAAAGGCTGACTCCCTTTATAGATGGACTCGGAATTAATTTGGGTTATTCTGTCAATTTTCCCTGCAGGATTATTCAGTGAAGTGGTAGTTATCAGAGTAATGCCAGGTACTTAGCTGGTTATCAGAACCAAGTAGTTCATATCCGTTTTTGGCACAGGTTTTGTTGGAAAGCCTCATTCTTCTCATCTTTTCCTGAGGAAAATATGCAGGTGAAGAACCTGTGTTGGTTACAGGGCATACCAGGTCAAGAGGCTTTATTGTCAGTAGCCCCTCTTCACATTCCCACTCCTGCCTGTCATCTGAGGCCAGGGCTCTTTTTTTAAAAAAAATTTTATTGTTATGTTAATCACCATACATCATTAGTTTTTGATGTAGTGTTCCATGATTCATTGTTTGTGTGTAACACCCAGTGCTCCACACAATATGTGCCCTCCTTAATACCCATCAACTGGGCTAACCCATCCCCCCATCCCCCTCTCTTACAAAAACCCCCAGTTTGTTTCTCAGAGTCCATAGTCTCTCATGGTTTGTCTCCCCCTCCGATTCCCCCCCCCTTCATTTTTCCCCTCCTGCTATCATTTTTTTTCTTAACATATATTGCATTATGTTTCAGAGGTACAGATCTGTGATTCAACAGTCTTGCACAATTCACAGCACTCACCATAGCACATACCCTCCCCAGTGTCTATCACCCAGCCACCCCACCATCCCTCCCCACCCCCCACTCCAGCAACACTCAGTTTGTTTCCTGAGATTAAGAATTCCTCATATCAGTGAGGTCATATGATATATGTCTTTCTCTGATTGACTTATTTCGCTCAGCATAACACCCTCCAGTTCCGTCCACGTCATTGCAAATGGCAAGATCTCATTCCTTTTGATGGCTGCATAATATTCCATTGTATATATATACCACCTGTTCTTTATCCATTCATCTGTCGATGGACATCTTGGCTCTATCCACAGTTTGGCTATTGTGGACATTGCTGCTATAAACATCGGGGTGCATGTACCCCTTCGGATCCCTACATTTGTATCTTTGGGGTAAATACCCAGTAGTGCAATTGCTGGGTCATATGGTAGCTCTATTTTCAACTTTTTGAAGAACCTCCATACTGTTTTCCAGAGTGGCTGCACCAGCCTGCATTCCTGCCAACAGTGTAGGAGGGTTCCCCTTTCTCCGAATCCCCGCCAACATCTGTCGTTTCCTGACTTGTTAATTTTAGCCATTCTGACCGGTGTGAGATGGTATCTCATTGAGGTTTTGATTTGGATTTCCCTGATGCCAAGCGATGTTGAGCACTTTTTCATGTGTCTTTTGAGGCCAGGGCTCTTGATGAGGTTATAAAACAAGTTCCTCCTGATATTTAGTTGATTCTCGTTTCAGTTCTGCACTGACTAGTGTACACCATTGTTACTCAAACACATTGATAATATACAAGTCCTAGGATATGCCAACATATACCATGTCTGCTTGATTATGTTATAAATTATGTGATAAACCAAACCAAATTCAGATTTGTCACACTTTAATAATTTTCAGATCATAATTGCAGTACACCAACATCTTGCTTGTCTAGAATACATACCTCTTGCAAATCTGGCTATCCAGAATGTGACTGAGAACAGAGATGGAAGCAAAAACAGCTCTAAAATAACCCAAAATAAATGCATAAATCTGTATACTAATACTCATTAAACTCTTTCAAGGCCTATTCACTTTTATATTCTGTCATCAATCTGAACAAAGCTATCTAGTTTCCAAGACATTGTGGATTAAAAGCAGAGTATTAGAGACTGACACATGGATTCCTTTTAGTGATACTAAAAGCAATAAAAATATTAACCAAAGGAGCAGATAAACTAAACTTAGGAAAGGTGGCCCTAGGAAGTCAAAAAGTATTTACATAAAATACCACTATGTAGTAATTTATCATGGTAGCCCATTAATTATATAAAAAAGGGTAAATGGTATTTGGTTATACACTTTGGAAAGGCAGACAAGGTGCTTAAATATCGAATTCCTCAACTATATGGTTCTTGGCCACCTAGAACCTTTCATTTCCAATCAATTGATAAATAATTTTAAACTGTGCTAATACGCAGTTTGAGTATGTACTCCTTAATTTCAGTTATCAGAAATACAATAAAGACAACTTTCCAGAAGTATCCTGAGTGAAGATTACGTGAATTATAAAACAACAGTAAAATTTTAAACTAGTGAACGTATGGTGATAGTGTTATAGTTAGATTTGAACTTTTTTCTGCTTCATTGTGATAAAACTCAGGGTGCCATATGGTTGTATTTTCTTCTGCAATCATTTTTATGATTACATGAATCCTGTAATGTGAATATTTAATGTTTGTATTTAGTACCTGCTTTTTTTTCTCCCCCAGAAAACAGATAAATACAGCAGCTACCCAGTATACCATACGATTTATGAGACGTTTGAATTAGTAGAGAATTTTTATGATCCAACATTTAAAAAACAGCTTTCTGTGGCTCAGTTACGAGGAGCACTGGTTTATGAGCTTGCAGACTCTGAAATCATTCCGTTCAATATTGAAGACTATGCAAAAGCTTTGAAAAACTATGCAACAAGTATCTACAATTTATCTAAGAAACATGACCAACAATTGAGAGACCACGGAGTATCATTTGGTAAGAATGGCTGGGTATTTTATAATCTTTAAGTTGGAGCTTTAAGATACTGTCTCCTTTTGTCACCAGTGCACTCTTTGATCGCAGTATACCTGCATCACTTAATTCCGACTTCTGGAAAAAAAACTAAACACTTTTAAAGAACGTAATTTCATCTGATATTTGTAGGATGAATCCATCTTGCTAAGTTTGTGCTATAAACATTGGGTTTGTAAATATTTTCCCTGTGTTGCTGCCTTTAAAAATATTTTTACTGTTAAAAGAAAAATACTAGTAAAATAAATACTACTACACAAAGATGGGAAAACAGAGAAAACCTATTCCACTACATAGGTAATTACTATTATTGCATGTATTTGTCTACATGGAGGATTTTTTTTACATGGTTTTAAGCATTCTTTCATAGCCATTTTGCAGTTACTGTTCTATACTACATACTCCCTACAAAGCAGGGATGAAATATAGTACTCAGTGGCACTGAGTACTGGGTCTAGAAGCAGTTACCCAGTTCAAATCCTGGCTCTAATATTTAAATCACTGTGTGATGTTGGGAGAGGGCCGTGGCCCCTCTCTGTGTGTCCGTTTTCTTAGGAGTGAAACAGTAAAGAATACAACATGTTTCCAAGACTGCTGTGCCTGATTCAGTTGGTTAATATATAGAAACAATGGTGCCGGACACTTAATGCTCATGAATGTTACCTACTAGTAGGGTTTTATTGTAACCATTTTCTTTTAATCTGGGAGTACATATTCTTAGTATATACCAAAATTGTCAAATTTGTATTCAGTGTCTACCATCTACAAGTTCTGTGTTATTTCCTGGGAGACATAAGGATGTGTGAAAAATAATCATTGCCCTCAAAGAGCACAGAATCTCATGTGAAGGAGAAGACCAAAATGCCAGGGACAAGTTGTTGTAGGAGTACACAGAGAGTACAGTGGAACACAGAGAGTAAGTACAGAGTAGTCAGTAGTGGCTTTTGAATATTACTACATCCAAATTAGTCATCTTCAAAGTTATGATGAGCAGCAGGTACTAAGATCTAGATAAAATGATGTGAAGAAAATTTAGGAAATTGTGTTTACATGAGCGATTGGAGAATAATGAGGCAAATGAAATGAATAAGCAGAGCCCACAGCAAGATGGACATTCATAGTTCTTTGGCTATCCAGCATCCATTTCTTTTCCTAGATGCCCTGCTTTTCTTTTGAATTACTTTTTATCAACTGAAGTCAGGATCCTACAGGGAGAGCACAGAGTTAAAGTGGAAGGACTCTGTTGACACCGGTTAATTAGCCTAATGTATGTTAATACCCCCCATATTGTCCAACTCGCCATCTCACTGGTAACACTCCATCTGCATTAAACATTCATTATAAACGTTTCTTCTACCTAATGTGCCCTACTCCCTTCCCAGTCAAAATCCGTCATTTACTGCCAGGCAACAACAGACCCTCAGAAAATGTTTTAATGAAGGAATGATGGATGGGATGGATCATAATCTGCACTCCCAGTCTCCATTTCTTTACTTCCTTCTACCAATCCACTGAACTGTCTTCCTACTCTACTGAAATTGCTTATGCCGAAGTTATCATTCACCTATTACTAAATATCAGGGATACATTTCATTTCTTACCCATCTAGACTCTTGTGGTTCATTGGAAACCTAAAATTCCTTCAATACTTTTCTTTAGCTTCGATAATACCTATTATTAGATTATTTGGTACATGGTTTTTAAAACAGCAATACTAATTAGAGCTTAAAGCATATTTAGGACAGAAAAAAAAAAAAGGCCTTATCCTGTGTCTGGAACAGTAAGCGCTCTATCTGTAAAATGTATCCCCTGCTTCACAGGATTAAGGAAGGAAGGAATCAATTTCTGTTAATGTTCGGTTTAGAAAAGATGCAAAATGATTAATAGGTGGTTGTAATAAAAAATATACTGAGAACCTTCTCACTTCCCTTAGAATTTTTGTAAACTAGAAAAGCTTGACCAGACAAAACCCGATCCTATTTGTGTCCACATATGTCAGCTTGTCACAGGTGGCCTTTAAACAAGACCTTAAATGCACTCTTTACAAAGAGGGATTAATATTGTCTGTCTATAATAATTGCAGGAACATAACTCATCTAGAGCTGTATCTAGCATATAGATGTTGTACCAATAAATATGTATTGAAGGAGTACATACATAAATGATGCATTTCTGGTAAATTAGGAGTTAAAAGAATTATGTCCTAGACTCTTGGAAGTTATTTCCTGAAGAACTAATTTAGTCATTTTCTATTTTATATACTGTTTCTTTGTTACAAATTTTCTGATAATTTCCATGGATCTGCAGGAAGGCTCAACATTGTTTCAGTATCTATTCACTCATATCAGCCTGGAATGGGGTGGGCAGGGAAGTAAACATGTGAAATAAGCTCCTCTTACTGACTTTCCACTTTTGCATTTTTAAAAGATTCTTTATTTTCTGCTGTGAAGAACTTCTCAGATGCTGCTTCAGATTTTCATAGAAGACTTACACAAGTTGATCTTAATAAGTAAGTTTCAAATGTAAAGCTCCCCATCATTTTGAAAAGTGATCTAATTACTAGAATGAATTGTGTACACTTTGTAAGCATTCAACTCTACATCAATGCTCTACGGTCTGTAAACCAGCAGCATCAGCGTTACCTAGTTAGAAAGAGTATCAAATGCCATCCAAGACCTACTAAATTAGAATTCCGTGCTTTTTAACAAGACTCTCCAGAATGGTTTGTATTCACATTGAAGTTTGAGAAGCATTATTCTATGGTAGACTAAAAACTCATTCCAAGACAAGGGCCAAGGAGGACAGCCGGTAATTCACAATTCCATGGTTTAAGTGCATCTGTAGTATGAATTTCACTACAGTCCCAATACTTCCCTGACCAAATGCAGAAGTTTTTTTTTTTTGCATTTCATTTAACCGCTTGCCACTTTTAGATTGAAATATAATGAAAAAGTTGTATTTAAAGCATTATCTAACAAGCATAAATTGTTCCACACTGTAGTCCAGGTCACATTTATTTGTTCAGATCCAATTAGAATAAGCTTTTTCACCACCCATATTGGCAACAAGATGTATCCTTCATTTTGAGGGGCTTCTCTCTCCCCCTCAGGTTGTAGGAAAGCCCAGAGAACCTGTGTAGCACCCCAAAGAGCTGGCAGATTCCAAATATGAAAGGGGATTCCCTGCCCATGATGTGCAACTACCCCCTCCCCAACTCTTCTTGCAGACTGTTGCGACTTCCCTTCATTTGTTGTTGTTCAGCCTTTACTCAGTGGCATTAACTTGATAGTACACCCAATCTGCCTCTGCAGGAGGCCAGGCTCTCCTCCTAGAAAGAATTAAAAATGTCTTTCTGTTCTTTCTATGGTCTTGACAAAAGAACCATTTCCAATAGGTCTCTCTCATTATGAATATTAGAAAGATGCCTCCATTGTTATATGTAGTTTACATATAAAGCATTACTGTTAATCTGCATTTTCTTAAAAATCTGTTGATTTTAGAAGTTTATTTTTCCATGCTTTATCCTGTATTATTTAAAAATACACAAAAACTAATGATGTAATGTATGGTGATTAACATAATAAAATTAAAAAAAATAAAATAGAGTTCCATGGTAACTATAACTCTTATTTTTGAAGTCCCATTGCAGTGAGAATCATGAATGACCAACTGATGCTCCTGGAGAGAGCATTCATCGATCCCCTTGGTTTACCAGGGAGGCCGTTCTATAGGTAAGGAAGCAACACCTTTCACTAAAGGACATTAAATACTTCACTGTGACCAAAACCAGCATGTCCAAAGTCTGTTTTAAACTGCTCTCATCAGGTGAACCGAAGATGAGTATGTATGCTATGGGGAATATGGGTAAGATTATGTATAGTAGTGAAGTTGTAGTATCAGAAAAGTTAACTTCGTGTTTATTGCTTTGCTGCAAATGTAAATGATAAATGTAGTTGAAAACTCTTAAGAAAATCTAAAAGCTATAGACTCTTAAAGGGAATCCTAGAGCTCATGTAGTTCAAAGTTCTACATTAATCTTCTTTATAGCATCTGAGGTAAGTAGCTATTTAGCCTCTGAATCTTCCAGCGATAGGAAGCTTACTACCTTATGAGGAAGTCTATTTCATTTTAAGAAATGTCTATGTTAACAGAAGTTTTCTTCATAAAGATCGTTTTCCCTGTAATTTCCTCCCTCTGACCCTGTTCAGCTCTCCAAAATCATATAGGGTAAATCTAGATCTATTTCCATAGAACATTTTAGGTTTTTGAAGATGGCTGCCACGTTCTGCTGAAGCAATATCCTCTTTTTGTATCTGTACCTCTATGTTGTTTTCTTTCGCTACCTTGACTGTGTGCTTGCACAGTCTCCAGTTTTTTAAGCTACCTCTTAAGCTGCAGTTCCTTGGTGAAAATTTGAGAGGCTGTTTATCATCAGATGACATGTACCAGAGACAGTTCTGTACGTTAGCTTTAAGTATTAGTGACTAGTATTAATGTTTAATTATAAGCACAGGCGTTTAGAGTCCAGCTCTGGCTCATACTAAGTAACCTGGGCAAAATACTTACCTAAACCTCAGTAAATGGCTGCTATTTTTAAAAATAATACAAATATAATTATTTATTGATACAAGTAAAATAGCCATCAGTTAAGTATTTACATGTCAAATAAAAAGTTGAAAGTAAATCTACATATTAGATTTATAATACAGGCAAGAGAGGGTTATCTCTTGCCTTTATTAGTCTATTCATAAGCAAAACCTCTTTTTTCTCAAAATGAATGCAGACTCTTATAGAAGCTTGTAGGATAAAAAGGGGCCATGCTCCTTCAGCATTCCCTTCTATAACCCACACCCAGTCATTTGCTATTCTATTTAAAGAAAATCAATGTTTCATATACACGTGTATATATCTATATATTTATTCATCTATAGCTACATAAATGGGACCATATATTTTGCATCTTGCTTTTTTTTCATAACAATTTATCTTTTTTGTTATTTTAATCACTACACATCATTAGTTTTTGATGTAGCACTCCATGATTCATTGTTTGTGTGTAACACCCAGTGCTCCATGCAGTACGTGCCCTCTTAATACCCATCACCAGGCTAACCCATCCCCCCACTCCCCTCCCCTCTAGAACCCTCAGTTTGTTTCTCAGAGTCCATAGTCTCTCATGGTTTGTCTCCCCATTCATTTTCCCCTTCCTGCTATCTTCTTTTTTAACATATAATGTATTATTTGTTTCAGAGGTACAGGTCTGTGATTCAACAGTCTTACACAATTCACAGAGCTCATCATAGCACATACCCTCCCCAATGTCTATCACCCAGCCACCCCATCCCTCGCACCCCGCCCCCCACTCCAGTAACCCTCAGTTTGTTTCCTGATATTAAGAATTCCTCATATCAGTGAGGTCATATGATACATGTCTTTCTCTCATTGACTTATTTCACTCAGCATAATACCTTCCAGTTCCATCCACGTCATTGCAAATGGCAAGATCTCATTCCTTCTGATGGCTGCATAATATTCCATTGTATCCATATACCACATCTTTATCCATTCATCTGTTAATGGACATCTTGGCTCTTTCCATAGTTTGGCTATTGTGGACATTGCTGCTATAAACATTGAGGTGCACGTACCCCTTTGGATCCCTACATTTGTATCTTTGGGGTAAAAACCCAGTAGTGCAATTGCTGGGTCATATGGTAGCTCTATTTTTAACTTTTTGAGGAACCTCCATACTGTTTTCCAGAGTGGCTGCACCAGCTTGCATTCCCACCAACAGTGTAGGAGGGTTCCCCTTTCTCCGCATCCCCGCCAACATCTGTCGTTTCCTGACTTGCATAACAATTTATCTTAAGAGATCTTCCCATGTCAGTATATACAGTTTTAGCTCTTCTTATCTGGTGTATAGTGTTCCACTGTTTGGCATGCATGTATAATTTTTAAACTCTTTGTTGACTTTTTAATTCAATTTGCTTTTTCCCTCATTTACTTTTAGTAAAAATACTGCCTGTGTCCTTTTGAACTTTTGTTTTAATATCTATATAATCAGTATGTGGATTTCAGGGTCAAAGAGTTAAATGCATTCTAAATGTAAGTAACTGCCAAAAAGACTGCAGTATATTTTAAAAATATATTTGGAATTATTAACTGAATATTAAGGCTATATTCTAAAGCTAGGGCAGTACAAAATGGCAATGTCTGAAGATCCTGAACTCCACTCCTCCCATGGACACACTTCAAAGCTGAAACTACATATGGAACAATTTCCTCTGAAAAAGAAAGACCTGAAGAACTGAACAACTGAAAGATGAACAACTCCTTCATATCAAACAAGAAAAAGGCCATACCAAGAACTAATCATGCCATACACCCATCTCTAGGGACACAACCCACAATGAGGAGGGAATTTACAAACCCAGAATTTCTCCCTTGAGGAGTGAAGGGTTCATACCTCAAACAGGGTACAACCAGCTTTTAAGACTTGCACCTGAGTGATGAGCCTCCAAAACATCTGGCTATGGAAGCCAACAGTGCTCACATTCAAGAGACCCAAAGGGCTACAGTGAACAAACAGCTCCTAAAGGGCTTGCGTGGACTCATTTGCCACAGGGTCCAGTGCAGAAGCAGCCCTCTGAAAAGCAGACTTCATGTGAAAGATTCATTTGCTAATCTTAATGCATCACCTGGAGGAGGCTGGTGGGTGCCATCTTTGTGTTCTTCCTCTCCTGAGCTCCAGAGCACCAGTATCTCCTGGAAGGCAGCTTTTTACCTGTGTCTTTTTTTTTTTTTTTAAAGATTTTATTTATTTATTTGAGAGAGAGAATGAGATAGAGAGAGAGCATGAGAGGGGGGAGGGTTGGGAAGGTCAGAGGGAGAAGCAGACTCCCCGACGAGCAGGGAGCCTGATGCGGGACTCGATCCTGGGACTCCAGGATCATGACCTGAGCCAAAGGCAGTCGCTTAACCAACTGAGCTACCCAGGCGCCCCTACCTGTGTCTTGTACTTAGTGTTTACAGCTGCTGCCCAGGGATGCCCTTTGTGGGGCTTGCATTCCTGAGTGCCATGAGACTGTACCAAGGTACTGTACAGATAGCAGGCTGAGTTTTTTCTAAGAACAACACCTATTTGGTTGTACAGGAGCTTTGGCCTAAGGAGAAAGCTTCTGGTCTGGCATACATCTAGGATGGAAAGAGTCTTTTACACTCCCCCCCTCTGCCCTGCCCCAGTTTGATGGCATATCCCAAAAAGGAGGTTGTACCTTTGTCGGGCACCCTGATTTTTTTTTTTTTAAGATTTTATTTATTTATTTGAGAGAGAGAGCATGAGAGGGGGGAGGGTCAGAGGGAGAAGCAGGCTCCCTGCCGAGCAGGGAGCCCGATGCGGGACTCGATCCAGGGACTCCAGGATCATGACCTGAGCCGAAGGCAGTCGCTTAACCAACTGAGCCACCCAGGTGCCCCGGGCACCCTGATTTTTGCAGCTGCTGCCAGGGCACACCTGTACATTGCCTGGCTCCTCACAGGTCCCATAAGACTGGAACCAATGGAGAAAAAGGTCTTAAACAGGCAACAGACCCAAGCAGCTCAGTCTTCCAGCGAAAGAGGTCTATAAGTTTATCATCACAGCTGCAGCCTGAGGGACAGGCTTCTACTTAAACATACATAAGGATTAACTGTAAACCTTACCAGGGACATTGGAGGGCAGGCGCTATCTTTTGTGCTCTCACTCTGCCTGGCAGACTGAAACACATATCCTCTTCTTTTTGTAAAAGAGCCTATTTACTTACCCTGGAGCTTCAACCTGCTCTAGGGCAGGCCTCAGATCTGGCACTCTTCTAGAGACCTATGGAAATGCTCTCAAACCATGTAAGGTGGGGCAATACCATCTTTGTGTTCTTCCTTATTACAGCTTGCTGGTATATTCCAGTAAGCAACTTATCTAATCAACTGGAGCCCCAATTTTTACTACTGTGTCTAAGGGACACCTCCCTATCACCTGGCTCCCACAAGATGATACATATTTGCATACTGTGGAAGCCAAACCCTCAACTATCAGGAGCTAGTAAAAACAGGCTGCTGGGACAATCACAAAATTTGAGAAACAAACGAGATACAGCAAGGTTAAATGAAAAGGTTCCCTACTTCAACACTGGGAGAGGTAGCTGTTTCATCTGATGCATATAGAAACCAACACATAGCTTAAAAAAAAAAATGAATTAACAGGAATATATTCCAATGAAAGTAGGTAAAACCTCAGAAAAATAGTTTGTGAAACAGAGATAATCTACCTGATAAAGAATTAAAAATATGGCCATAAAGATGCTAACTAAACTTGGAAGAATGGATGAACACAGTGAGAAACTGAAAAAAGAGAAAAGTACCAAATAGAAGTCACAGAACTGAAGGATACAACAACTGAACTGAAAAATACACTAGGGGGGTTTACAGCAAACGAGATGAAGCAGAAGAGAGGATCGCTGAACTCAAAGACAGGGCACTGGAGTTCACGCTAACAGAACAAGGAAAAACAAAAAAGAAAACAAAAAACCAAAAAGCTTAAGGGACTTCTAGAAAACATCATTCCCAGTGTAGGGAGAGAAGGGGGCTAAAAACTTCCCTAATCTGGAGAAAGAAACATCCAGATCCAGGGAACCAAAAGAGATCCACACCAAAACACATTATCATTAAAATGTCAAGGACAAGGAATCTTAAAAGC